TCTGTTAACGACTTCAAGATCTTCTCCACAACCCGCGTCTCGAGTTACATTTCTCCATTTTGATTTAGTTGATTTGACACGGTCTGTAGGCGTGTAATGTTGTCAGATACATTTTCTGACTCCTTCATTTTCATACTCTCCAACTCGCCACGAAGAGTTTGGAGACGCACTTGTTTGACTCGGTCGGTTCTTTTGAATACTTTTCTATAAAGTGACCTACGTTTCTTTTGAAGTAGTTGCCCCGACAATCTTCTCAAAGCCCCACTCGTCAATAGCCCGGAACAACATGTATAATGTTGCCTTATCCTTTGATTGCAATTCTTTTAACGCCTTATTCTGTGCTGCCGTATAACCTGTGGTATCCTTTGGTTCTTCGAAACCTTCTTCGACCACCTCCCATGCGTCTTGAGAATCAAGAAGAGCTTTCATTTGGATGCTCAAATTCTCGTAGTTTGTCTTCGTTAATCGCGGTAGCGATATTTGTCCCATCATATTCGCCATCGGCTCTGATACCATATGACGTCTGAGTCGAGCGTAGCTGAGAATAGGAGAAATGAGGAATTGGTGTCTTAAATGGGCTGTTCTCGAGAAGCTCCAAATGAAGTCTCATTAGAAAAGGACAAACTCAGTTTGTTGCTCGAGAACGAGGAGAGAAAATTGAAGAACCCACGACTGAGCTCGAGAAAACGAGAACGGCGCAAGTGGAATCATTGAAGATAACATTTAAGTTTATGGGGAAGTTTTTGTTGGAATAAACATAAATGGTGAAAGGTAGTTTTAATTTTGTTAAGTTTAGTGTTTTTTTTTAAATTGAGTCGTACAAGGAGAAGGCCAAAAGAAAAAAGTGAAAGGCAAATAATTATTGTAGGAAAGAGTGGGTTTATGAGTCAGAAAATGATGGATTCTGATGACCATATTTAGTCTTTAGAAAACCTATAAATTAACTTGTTTTTCATTGTGAAGAGTAGAGCAAGGTGTTAAAAGAATTGCGATCAAAGGATAACGCAGCATTATACATGTTGTTCCAGGCTGTTGACAAGTTAGGGTTTGAGAAGATTGCCAGGGCAACTACTTCAAAAGAAGTGTGGGACACGTTAGAAAAAGTGTTCAAAGGAACCGACCGATTCAAGCAAGTGCGTCTCCAAACACTTCGTGGCGAGTTGAAGAGCATGAAGATGAAGGAGTTAGAAAATGTATCTGACTACATTACACGTGTATAGACAATGACAAATCAACTAAATCGAAACAGAGAAATGTTACCCGAGACGCGGGTTGTGGAGAAGATCTTGAGGTCGTTAACAGACAACTTCAAGAATGTTGTATGTGCGATAGAAGACTCAAACGTCATAGCTTCGTTAAGTTTACTCAATTCCCTTCGCAAGTCCACAACGACATTTTCAACTTTCATTTTTGCTTCCTCCATTTCGGTTTTATCATGAATGAGTATCTCAATCGTGTGTCGTAAATTCACTGCCTCAATTCAGGTTCACGTCGAGTGAGTCTCTCTGTTGAGTCAGCATCTCTATATCTTTCTCCTGCCTCACTAGCTCGTCCACTAGAGCATCAATCTCCATTAACAAGTCATTCTCTTTCTCCACACCTTCTTCAATTTTCTTGAGAGATTACCTTCCCATTCTCTTCTCTCCTATTTGAGATAGAAGGAACTGTCACTCATCTCATCAACTTCCTTCTCTAACCTTTCAACCTTCATTTCTAACTCTTTCTTTTGTTCTCCCATTTTCTCTCCCATTCTCATCCTCTTTCTTGTTTCTTTCTCAAATTGCCGTTCCGGCCATTGGAGCTCTTTCTCTTCGAGCTCGGGCTCTTTGTTATCCGGTTGTTCATCCTTCCTCGATTTTTTCATCTCCGCTATCAAGATTTCGCCAAATCCGCTGCCCATCATCTCATTTTCAACAGTTTCCACTACGTCACGATTATCGCCATCATCTTTCGCGCCGTTGTGTTCTTTTGTTTTCAGCTCTTCATTTTGAGCCATCAAGAGAATGCCTCCATTTTTTGTGTCATCCAAGACCAGGTTGATTGTTTCTTCCACCTTTTCCTCGGCTCGACAATCTCTTGCAAAATGACTCATTCTGCCACAATTGTAACATTTGTCGAAGTTACCATTATTTGTACAGTGACCATATTTTTTAACTTTGTAACACTGATGTTGGAATTGAACTGTAAAAGGTAGTTTTAACTTTAACTTTGTTAAGTTTAGTAGTTTTTTGAAATTGAGTAGTAAAAGTAAAAAATGCCAAAAGCTAGTTTTAACTTGGTGGTTTTTTGGAATTGAGAAGTAAAAGTAAAAAAAGGCCAAAAGGAAAAAAAAAATGAAAGAAAAAAGGCCAAAAGAAAAAAAAAATGAAAGGTCAACAATTATGTTAGGAAAAAGGCGGTTTATGGGTTAGGAAATGATCTCATTCTAATGACTATATTTAGCTTTTAAAAAACCTATAAATTAATTCGTTTTTTCATTCTAAAACAGAGCATAGCAAGAAAAAAAAAAAATCTGACAAATTGTGTATACACTGTAATAGAAAAAGGGCTCTTCAAAATTCTGTCTGCTTGTCTCTCCCCTCTTGACATCTCATTCATAGTGTTATTTTAACAAATTAATATCAGAGCGAGCTTTTATTTTAACAAGTAACACTAACTTATTGAGATCCAATTCTTCTTTAAGTTTATCTGCATAAATTTCAGCATCCAATTCTTCTTTAAGTTTATCCACATAAATTTCAGCATGCGAAACAAACTTCTTTGGTTCATCCTATGTTGTGGATCCTCTTGTGCTCTCTTTTTCTAGAGAGTCCATCATGCCTTTTGGTGTTACCGGTGATGATATGTGTGGAATTGTTGGTGTTGTTGTAGGGGCACTTTCTAGGTCTATTGGATCTCCCTCTTCTTCTAGAGTACTGAACTCTGCAACAGTCTGTTTGTTATTGCCAACACTGCACCAATCTCACTTCTTCTCTTCTTGAAATACGAAATCTTTACTTACACGAATTTTCTCAGGTTGCGGATCATACAACCTGTGTGCCTTGGTCCCATACTCTATGCCAAAATACACCATATTTTGGCTTCTGACATCAAGCTTTTTGATATATGGCTTTGTCGTCTTAACATGTGTTGTACAACCGAAGACACTTAGGTACTCAAAGTGAGATGTCTTGCCGAACCATGCTTCATAGGGGGTGTGAGTGTCCAACGCCTTTGTCGGTAAACGATTTAGAAGATAAACTGCATGTCGTATTTCCTTGTCCCAAAAAATCACTAGGACTTGCATGCTCTTGAGTAAGCTTTTTGTAGTGTTATTATGGTGCATTTTTTCGTTCGACCACACCGTTTTATTGTGAAGTGTATGGTCGGGTGAGTTGACACTTGATACCTTCCTCTTTGCAGAACTTTGAGAAGTTCTAAGATAAAAACTCGTCACCTTCGGTGCGCATGGTTTACAGCTTATGATCATACCCGTTTTCAATGAGTCTTTTGAACTTCTTGAATGCACATAATGCCTCTCTTTTTTTCTTTGAGCATGTACACCCACATCCAACGAATATAATCATCAACAAGTAAGAGAAACTACTTATTACCAACAATCGATGATAGGGTGATCGGGCCACACAAATCTGCATGAACCAGTTATAGTGGTCGCTCAGTATAGAAACTGGTTTGAGCTGGGAACGACAATCTTGTTGTTGGAAGACTAGGCGACTTTCACATAGTTGGTTTGGGTGTATAATTTTGGGTAGCCCCTTAGCCATCTTCTTCTCCACCATCATTTTGAGTGTCTGAAAGTTCACGTGCCCTAGTCTTGCATGCCATAGCCAAGCTGGGTCTGCAAGTGCTGTCAATAGGGAAGTGGGATGACTGGACTACAATAGTATCTAGTATAGACAGTTATGCGACCGTTTTACCTACATTAACAAGGTTTCATTTCTGTTGAACGTCTTGAGAAATGAGCCAGCTAACTCTACTCTGCTTCCTTCTTCAGTCATCTGACCAAGATTGATAATGTTACTCTTCAAGTGATATAGTATACCTTGTTCAGTAAACTTTAGTCACCATTCTTGCACTGAAACAAGATGGATCTTTTGCCTTGGATCTATACGATTGATCCATCGCCAAACTTATCTTTCCAATGAGCTCCTTACAAGCTTTTTGAACTTTGTTCGATCTTCGATCATGTGGTTGTTTGTTCTGTTGTCAAGGTACCACATGTTGGTCTCCACTCGGTCTTCTCCTTTTGTGAGAATGTTTCCATAACCTTTTCTTCGTTGAGCATCAACAGTTAGGGCATCTTCTCGGTCAACATTAGTGCGGCCTCTTGATCTTGTGTGAGTGTGAGGTTTGCCTCCTCATCTCACTTCTTCTTGCAACACTCTACCGCATAGTGCCCATATTTTCTACAAGAGTAACACTTGATCATACTCTTGTCTTTTCAAGGATTGACATTGTCATGGGTTTGTGAGGTATTATCACAACCTCCTCTACCACCACGTCCACGACCACGTCTACGACCCTGTTTTTCTTGTTATGGCTACCACGTCCCCTCGTACTTGAAAAAGAAGACTCAACCGCATCATTCTTTTTCGTCAGTGCGAGCCACTTCTCATGTATGAGTAAGAGGTGTCTTTACTCCTCTTTGTCTTCATAGTCAAGTATTCTCTCCTATAGTTACTCCATTAATAACTTACTCTATTAAGTCTACTAACAATTCTCTTAAAAATGAATGAATAAATTATAACTTGTTTAAGTAGCTCAAGTTTATCAGCGGACACCTTTGCCTAAGTTGGAAGCATTCATCTCTCCACGTGGGTTCAAATATATGATAAACAATTGCAGACTGTTCTAGCCATTGGAGGAGAAAGATCAGTACAAGGAGAAATGCAGACCCACCACTTACGTAATGGCTTACGAAACCATTAGCTTCCACCCGAAGAAAGTCATACAATCACTGACCTTTTAAATTATTTATACTAATCTTTCCTTCACATAAGCTTTGAAGAGAAAAAGATGGCTGAAGAAGAAGTACAAGTGTTTGGCTTCCGGTCAGGCCCCTTCAGCCTCAGAGTGGAGTTGGCTCTCAAACTCAAAGCCGTGGATTACCAACACATTGAAGAAGATTTGCTCAACAACAAAAGTGATTTGCTTCTCAAATACAACCCAATCTACAAGAAGGTGCCTGTCCTTGTCCACAATGGCAACCCCATTTCGGAGTCACTCGTCATCCTTGAGTACATCGAACATAACTGGACGCACAATCCCATCTTCCCCGCACATCCCTATGATCGAGCTCTCGCCAGGTTTTGGGCCAAATACATCGATGACATGGTAATATTTCTTTGTTTTGGGGCATGTTTGGCTAAAAAGATGAGAAAAGTTATTGAAATATATTTTATATAGCTCTAATTAGAAATAAATTTTATCTCATCGTCAGATCCTCTTATTTTTTAGATTTAGTTGGTAGTATTCTATTTAAAAGTTGTGGATGAAAATCAGAATTTAGATCCTATTAAGATTTTCGATCCGGCTTATGTTTCTCATTCTTAACATAGTAATAGAGATTTTGTTTTTGGATTCCAGGTTGTGCCTGCCGTGCATAAAATTTCTCGAAGCATGGAAAAAGAGAGAGAGAAAGCCATAGAAGAAGCTCAGAAGACCTTGGAACCATTAGAGAATGAGCTTGAAAGCAAGAAGTTCTTCGGAGGAGAGGAAATTGGGTTGGTGGACATTGTAGGACTTATTTTGGCCGGGTGGATTCCTGCCATTGAAGAAGCTTTAGGATTTGAGCTTCTCATAACCCACAGGTTTCCAAACCTGAAAAAATGGACTGAAGAGTTCGTGAACCACCACGTGGCCAAGCAGGTTATGCCTCAAAAGGATGGGCTTGTTGCCTTTCTTAAAAATGTTGCGCTTAATCGAAAAAATTAAAAGATGAAATCAAAGTTTGTGTTGTGCTATCACAAATAAATTCAGTTTTTTTTAATACCGTAAATTAAATTTTAATGGTGGAGTTTTCAATTGCTCAATCTAAATTAAATAAAAGTCGTCGTAAATATATTTTTGGGTAAATTATAAAATATAAATTTTATTGTCAACTTGACTGAAACTGATTATAAAATTTATGTTAAATCTGAATATTCTAACATTTTCTTACTTTAATAATAATTTTAAAAACTTTATAAAAATTCAGAGGCAATATTATTTTAAATAAAAGACGTCATGTTCATTTTTTTATAATATTATTTATAAGGACAGTGTCTATTTTCTTTTTAAATTTTTTATTAAGAAAAATGTCAGACTCCGGAAGGTGGTAACGTGGTGATAGGTGGTATGATTGGTAAAGCCACGTGGGTGTGTGGGTGTGTGGGATGAGCATGTAGTTATTAGTTTATGTTTGGAATTATGCAGCTTTAGCTTCTAAATCCTAAGATATTTATACTAGGTTTTATCTAATGACCATTAATTTTTGTTATAAATGAACTTCTCAAGATTGGTTAGATACTTTACCTAGAATCATGAATATACGTTAGGGTAATGAGCAATCTCGAACCTAAGTTCAGAACCTACTAAATCAAAGAATGTGGCCAGGGTCGTATCCTTTAGTCCCTAGAAGACTAGGACAACCGGGGGTCTTTGAGACCCATATGGATAATTTAAATCCAAGGAATCTTCCTATAGGTTCATAAGGAGGTGCAAAAGCTAAATAGCTACAAATATAGGATGCACTAAAAGTTTAAAAATCAAGAAGAAATCTCAATCATGCAATATAAATTTAAAAGGAAGATGTGAAGAAGATTTTCAAATTATAGAAGATCTTGTAATTCACTTGGCTTATGGAAATAAGATTTTTAGTGAGTGGAAAATCAGATTTAACATAATTCATTTGGGTTATGGAGAGAGGAAAATCAGAGTTAATTTACTTATGGAAAGAAGATTTTTAGTGAGGTGAGGGACAACCACGACATCTAATAAGTGAATATTTGGAACACGAGAAAGAGTACCGGTGTGGGTAATGGGTAGAGATGCACCTTTCCTACGATCACAAAGTCCTTACCTGTGTAATTTTTAAACTGATCCAAAATAGATGGGTCGGCAGTCATATGGGCCGAAGCCCCAGTGTCAAGAAACCAATCAGCAGCATCGGGTCCAGCAATAGAACATGACGTGTTAAAGGCTTCAGTAAGGTGAGCATGAGAAGAATCAAGTCGAACATACTCTTGGTTGCAGCGGCCAGCATAATGGCCCTCTTTACGGCATATTTGGCCGTGAGGTAGTCGGCGACCCTGACCTGAGTGAGTTCGTTCTCGATTGGTAGAGTTGTTTTTGTGAGAATAAGAACGACCTCGCTGGTTGCTAAAGGAAGCAGGGTGGCTTCCATGGGTGCGACCACGATTAGTGGCAGTGAATGTTGTAGGAGTGGAGTCAAAGAACTCAAGGGAACACTGGAACAACTCAAAACTTTCAGCTTTAGAAACTAAATCTGCAAAATAGGAGATAGGGGTGAGAGCCATCTGGGCAGTAGAAAAAGCTGAAAATTCGGTGTCGAGTCTACGAAAGAACCAGTGCACTTTATCAATGTCCTCGACGGTCTGTCAATGGCATAAAGTTGGTCATAAATTTTTTTGAAGGCACGGGCATACTCAGCAACAGGTTTGGTGCCACGTTTCATCAACTGCAAGTCATCCTTGAGTCTCAATTCAAGAGCTTTCGAATGATGGCTGAACGCAGTTTCCAACGCAAGCCTAACATCACGTGTAGTAGAGAGACCAACGACAACAGCCATGACTTCCTCTGTGAGAGAGAAGAGCAGGAGACAGAGAAGTCATTGATCGGCTGCCTCCACGCCAAATATTTGGGGTTGAGTGTTGAGGAGGTTTTTGAATCAAAGCGAGGTGGTGGAACCATAGTTTCATCAACATAGCCCAGCATGTCTTGACTCTCAAAGAGAGGGAGAAGTTACTTTTCCAAAGAAGATAATTGGAGGAAGAAAGTTTGATGGTGATCATATGGATTAGAGTATTGAAAGGAAGAAGATAATAAGAGGATTCGAAAGCTATAGAGAAGAAAGAATCAGAGTTGTTAAATTAAAAGGGCTCTGATACCATGTAAATGTTTGCTGAATCCACCCCACCGAAATGAGGGTGAGAGTTCTCTTATTTATAATCATTTACAGTATAGAAATATATTAAATTACAAATAATATGAAAATAACAGTAAAAGGAAAGAATAATAAAAGAATACAATATATTTGTTTTTAATAAAAGGACAAATATGGTAAGCCCTAATGTATATTTGCCTTTTAATGAATGGTTAATTATCCTTAACAATGTCATATTAAAGAAGAATCGAGCTCTATTTACTCTTGGATCGCTACAAATTTTGGGAGGATGATTAATGTATTTTAAGACATTTTATTTATTTTAACGTTGCATTTAATTAGTGGCTAATTATGGTCCTACATTATAAAAGTTACATCTAATGAAATTCCTCATGTAAGGTCAAGTTTTTTTTCATTTTGAGGCTATATAAAATCATGTATGGTGACTTTGTAAAAGGACTTGAAAATGTAGTAAAAAGAGCATTTGTGCCTTCTTTTAGTCAAGTGCTAAGTTTCTTTGCAATTATATATAGTTTAGGTTGCATGTTTAGAATAATTCAAACATGACATGATCAGTCTTACTTGTGAAGTGATTCGAATTTCAAATAAGTATTCTTGCTTTGAAATATTTGATCGACAAGATAATATTGAATTTTACTTTCCTTTGAGGTGATTCTTTATCGTTATAAGGTTCTTTGATATATTTAGACCTAAATGTCATATTCTTTAATAAGGTTGGTAGATGAATTTCACGAGAGTTGCAATCATTTAGGATGAAATCCAAATCTTATCTAGGAGTTTGCATATTTAGGTGAACTAGGAGTTTGCATATTTAGGTGCTTATAAAGATTTTTATATTCAACTAGCTAGACTTTCCATATCACAAATCTTATCTAAATTACCCATGTTTAGTAGTTCAACAAGTTACTGTGCAAGAATGGTTAGGAGGCTCGGCAACTCACTCCTAATCGTTAACATGCCTCGAGGAGAGTCAAGACTCTATGTGGTGATAGTAGCTATGGAGGTTAGTCCCCATGAACTTTATGACAATGTGAGGAATAGTAGTCAAGCCAATAACTTTTATTAGTGAACCTTAAAATACAGTGTATTATAGAGAGACCTCTTATGGGCGCATTCAAGGTATCCTCAATTATCCCTTGGTCAGGAACTTGTTACAGGGGACACCAAAAGGGTTTAGTCATGCTTGGTTAAGTAGGGGATGAGAGTGTATTTAGTGATGAGAGTGTATTTAGTGATGGTAGTTATGGGGGTCACTCCCTTTTAGCTCTGTGAGATATGTAGATGAGTAGTCTAACTTAATAGCTTCTATTAGTAAACCTATAAGAGAGGTAAGAATTCAATGTCATCCATAGTATTCCTTTAGGAGCTAGAATAGAAAGGTCGTGCCCTAAATTATAGAGAGACCTCGTGTGAAATCCCACATCGATTGGAGAGGAGAACGAAACATTTCTTATAAGAGTACAAAAACTTCTCCCTATCAGACGTGTTTTAAAAACCTTGAGGGGAAATTCAAAATAGAAAACCCAAAAAAAATAATATCTACTAGTGGTGGACCTAGAACATTACAAATGGTATTAGAGCCAAACATCGGGCGATGTACTAGCAAGGAAGCTACCTCGAAAGGGGGTGGACATGAGAAAGTGGGGGTGATTGGGGGTCCCACATCGATTAGAGAAGGGAATGAAAGTTAGCGAGGATGTTGGGCTCCGAAGGGGGTGGATTGTGAGATTCCACATCGATTGAGGAGCAGAACAATAAATTCTTTATAAAGGTGTGGAAACCTCTCTCAAGTAGACGTGTTTTAAAAACCTTGAGAGAAACTTCAAAAGGAAAGCTCAAAGAAGACAATATCTGCTAGTGGTGATATGGACCATTACACCTTGTGTGGGTACAATCAAGAGATTCGCAACAATCCCTTAGTTGGAAACTCGTCCATAGGGGTAAGGGTAATATTTAGTAGTCGCATCTCATAAATACTTACCCAGTAAGACAACAAAAGGGTTTAGTCAGGCTCCAAGTTAAGTAGTTGGGAAAAGTTCGAGCTTGCACCTCACAGATAGTCGTTCATTGTAATCCTTCCTCTCAGCTTTCTTTGTTGCAAGGGTTTAACTATTCTTAAGAACTAGAGTAGCAATATCAGGCCCTAAAATACAATGTGTCATATAGAGGCCTCATGTAGGTACAATCAACGGATTCCCAACTGTCCCTTGGTCTAGACCTCGTTCACAAGGGTGAGGGTAATGTTAAAGGTTGCACCTCACAGGTACTTGATAAGGACACCAAAAGATTTAGTCAAATTCCAGGTTAAGTAGTTAGGAATAGTTAGAGGTCGCACCTCATAAATAGTCATCGGTAATTATTCTTTAGGAGCTATAGTAGTAGGATAATGTCCTAGAATGCAATATGTGATAGAGACACCTCATGTGGCTACGATCGCAGGATCACATTATCCTTTGGTTGGGAACTCATCCACTAGGGTTAGAGTAATAAAAAGTTGGGCGCCCCTAATAGATACTTACCCAGTAAGAACATCGAAGGGTTTATAGTCATGCTCCAAGTTAAGTAGTCGAAAACTATTAGGAAGGCCATGCACTATCCCTTGCCCTATCTTTGTGGCAGTAGTAGGGTTATGCCCGGAGAACATAGTAACATTAGGAAGGCCATTCCCTATCCCTTGCCCTATCTTTGTGGTAGTAGTAGGGTCATGCTCGGAGAACATAGTAACATTTTACGACCATAGTAACCAAAGAATTTACAACCTTAATAGGGCATAACCATGAAATTTAGCTCCTACGTGGAATTAAACCCATATTGGATGGTTTCACCATATCTAACATGAGGAAACAATTAGAAGAGTTGTACGGTTCATCCAACCTGTAAAAGCATCTTATGGAGCCGTTGTACTATTCTGAAGAAGAAAGATCGGACATTATGTTTGTGCATTGATTAAAGGGCGCTAAATAAAGTGACAGTACACAAAAATTACCCATTACCATTATATTCGATTTGTTCTATCAACTCCATGAGGTTAAATACTTCACAATGTTGGACTTATGTTCGGATACGACCAAGTGTATATTGCTGAAGAGGATGAACTTAGAAATGGAACTAGAGTATTAAACAGGATTTAAACAGGGTTTCAAGTATCATTGCAATGGAACTAGAGTATTAAACAAGATTTCATTGCTCCCTCCCTCCTCCCAAAGAAGAGAACAATCATGCATATCGAGTAGCTAATTAAACACACATGTAAATAATTAACAATAACTCTTTAATAAACTAAAATCAACCGTTAACATACTTAAACTATATAAAACTCTCTCGACTCCCCTAGAAAGTTTAGCTCTCCATACAAATTAAATTAAATAGAGGAACCCATATATCAATCATATAAAAGAGATAGAATAAGAGAAAAGAGTAAGGAAATAGATAGTAATCAAGCTTGGTTGCAGTTCTTGAATGACAGTTCCCTTCTTTTGAGATCTCACGTCTACCTCTTTGCCCTAATCAATCCTTTTTTGTCTTCTTTTCCTTCCTGTCAACAACTGCTGTATTAGGGTTTTCTCTTTCCAAAAATGTGGCTCTCCTCTTTTTAGGTATTCATTTTTCTTTTATATTGTGTATTGCTTCTCATTTAGGGCCGAAAAGGAATAAATTTTCAATGTTCCACATTGGGTAGTCAATGACCCACTTGTACAGCTGATGTGGATTAAAATTTCCATGTTATCATCCAAAATTTACTTTCCGAATTATTTAAGCATTCGAGTCAACAATTTGTTTCAATATACCAATAGTGTTGTGCCCAGATTTGCTATAGCATCATGCTTCAGCATAAATGTTATGAAATTTTGCCAAATAATTCAATTAAATATACAATTAGGCTTCATTCATGCAAATTGATATTATTTTCATGTTGAACCACAATGAACTACGTTATGCATACTAATTAGAACAAAAGGAGCAAATAATGAGAAAATGATTTGTATGAGTTCATAATTAAGTACAAAAATGCTTTATATAATTCTACTTTTGGAGAGATATCATGTGTTCTAGAGGTCGACAGTCCCTTTCACAAGCATTTTGCGCGTTTTGACGTCGAGTCTGGTTGTTTTATGTTGTGGGTTTCATTTTCAGACATCTACGGAGTTCTCTCTCTCTCTCTCTCTCTCTATTTTTCTTTGTTTTTCTCTCTGTTACGGGTACTGTGGGCGTTGGCTGAAGGCTTGCTGAAACATGGGCATTTGGAGAGGGTCGTGGAGCGTATTTCCGCGACCCTCCCGTTATTTCCGGCGGTTGCCGAAAAACTCGTGAGTTTTCTAGCGACTGGGTAAATTTTTTTTTTCTTTTTTGTGATTCATTACACATGGTCTCGAGTTGCGATGTCGTCGTCAACTGTATAGGGATGTCTTGCCTTTACGTGAGAAAATAAGAATAGAGCATGGCTTGAGTACCCGTATCAATGTTAAATGCAAACATATACAATTTCATGAATGAGACCTATCATAAAAGTCTACTTCCTACGGCGGCTTTCCTAACGGGCAACTTGGACGTGTACTTAATTTTCCTACACACAGTCCATACGTACGAGTACGGACCTACCAATTGGTCCACACACCTCCTAGGCCCATTTCTGGTCGGCCAAGCATTCTATGGTAGCGGTTGATGTCGGAGATCCGTTAGGAATAGCAAGGCAGCATTATGATAAATATAATGATCGTTCTCCTGCCTCGTAGCGTACACGTCCATACTATCGTGAAGGATTAGAGGTATCCCCAAATGCATGAGCACACAATAATACATGAGGTCCCAACATTTTTCCACTTTCATTATTAATTAATACCTTGCTAGCGTATTCTTCGTATTATATCATTTCTCATAATGCTTATCATATCATTTATCGTATCTTTCATGTTTTATTTATTGTACTAACAAAATTGATATAATTAAATTAGTTTCTATAGACAATCCAAATGTTGGAATTCAATGGACATGACATGGCGCAACATGATTCAAGGGTGACACAACAAATTAATTGGTTACTTTCAGTTTTGAGGATTCTTATCAAACCCTCATGGCCTTCAAACCATTCTTCAAACAATTGTATGAATTTAGAGATTGTACAGATAGATATTCATGAGCCTGGATTTAGAAATTCTTTCCTTATTTAACTCCGCCGTTTCCCATTCCCATTTCATCCATCGGAGACTACCAACGATCTCAATGGCAGCCGATCAGTCAATTCTCCTCTGTTTCTTCGTCTCCTTCTTTGCGTTTCAAATCGCCGCCAAGAATCAGAAGGAAGCTCTTGACGCTCTCTACAAGGCCAAGTTTTTCACCAACTCAATCGCCGCCGATTCATCCGATTTTTTCGTCCGAAACCACGTTCCAGATCAAAACACCGATGTTTTGCCGACGGTTGAGATTTACGATCAGACCGGACTGAAGCAGCAGGACAAAATCGAACGGCTGCCGGGACAGCCGCCTAGGGTTGAGTTATCGCAGTACGGCGGCTATGTGACAGTCAACAAATCCGCCGGCCGAGCTTTTTATTACTACTTCGTTGAATCTCCTGAAAACAAGGCCTCGTTGCCGCTTCTTCTCTGGCTCAATGGAGGTTCGTGGGCGACCTGGATTTAAGTGAAATTTAAAAAAAATATGTTATTTCAAATGATAAATTTTTATCTTTCTAATATAATTTGAGTAAAAAACATGATGGGATGGGTTAATAAATGATTAATTGTGTAGGGCCTGGGTGTTCGTCTCTTGGTTATGGAGCCATGGGTGAACTCGGTCCATTCCGAGCTGGTAGCGACGGGAAAACCCTCTTTCAAAACGACTTCTCATGGATTCATGGTACTAATTGTTTAAACATTTATAGATTTTCATGGTTAAGTTATTAATTATGAAAAACTATTTATATTTTTAAAAAAATTCTAGTGGCAAATGTGTTGTTTTTGGAATCTCCGGCCGGAGTGGGATTCTCGTACTCCAATACTACATCGGATTACAAAAACAATGGAGATAAGAATACGGCAAAAGACAACTATGCATTTTTGGTGAATTGGTTGGAGAGGTTCCCAGAGTATAAAGATCGAGATTTCTATATTTCTGGTGAGAGTTACGCTGGTCACTACGTTCCTCAGCTCGCTCATGTTGTTTTCTCACACAATAAGAAGGCTGGAAAGACGATCGTCAATCTCAAGGGTATTATTGTAAGTATACCACTTTCTCTCTCCCAACTTCTTAAGAAACAATTATATTCAAAATGGAAACAATATATGAGTTTCTTTAAAACCTTTTAAATTGGGATGGGAAGAAGAAGGAAACTTTTTATTTTCCTCACTTGATGAACTTCATTTCAAATGGTTTTCCCCGCACAACCTACTTCATTGAATTTCTTTTCTTATCTTGTTGGTTGTTTTCAGATTGGAAATGCCGTGCTCAATGATGAGACAGATCAAATTGGAACGTACGATTTCTTCGCATCCCATGCACTAATTGCCGACAGAACTGCAAACGACATAAAGAAGTATTGTGACTTCTCGCCAAACTTGACCGTACAGAGCCCGCAGTGCTTAGCGGCGTCGAAAATAGCATACTCTAACATACAAGTGATCGACATGTACAACATCTACTATCCACTATGTTTGAATAGTAACCTAACACATTGGCCAAGGAAAGCGTCAGTGATGAACTACGATCCTTGTACTGATGACTACACATATGCGTACTTGAACCAGGCAGAGGTTCAAAGGGCGATGCATGCCAACGTGACAAAGCTTGCACACGATTGGGATCTTTGTAACGATGTCCTCAAGGACTGGACCGATAGTGCTTCCACTATTATTCCTCTATTGCGCGAGTTCATGGACAATGGATTACGAGTCTGGGTTTTTAGGTAATTGAACAATGACTATTAGTTATTGAGAAAATAGTAATAATTATGAGTAGTATAATTAACTACAATATTGGTTTCAGTGGTGACACCGATGGAAATGTACCTATTACTTCCACCAAAGACTCTATCGCCACGATGAAGCTTTCGGTCAAGAAACCTTGGTACCCCTGGTTCGTTCATCATGAGGTACGTTCTTGTAACTCTATTTCCTTATTAAAATAAACGAGTATTTAATTTAAGCTCACTTAGATCGTCTTAATTAATCTCAATTTTAATTTTGACGTTGAATTTATAGGTCGGAGGGTATGCAGAAGTGTATGAAGGGGAGTTGACGTTGGCGACCGTGAGAGGGGCAGGTCATGAAGTGCCAAGCTTCCAACCAAGAAGAGCCCTTGCACTTATCACACACTTCCTTGAAGGGACTTCTCTCCCGCCCTCTTCTCCTTCGTCTCATTCTTCATAACATTTTTTCCATATGTAATTTTAACTTTCCATTAATCTTTTTTAAATTAGGTTCTTCTTATATACCTCCAATATCAATATGTAATACTAATACCTATAATCGGAATGAATAATAAACGGTTAACATTCTTGATCTCAAGTGATTATGTCTGTTTTTAATTTTTTTTATTCAAATTAATTCACACATGGCTCAATGTTAAAAGTTTGATTTTCCATCTTGTTATTATTAAACTAAAATAATTTTTTTGAATTATGAGCTGTGGTTAAAAATGTTCATTTAAGCTGCGGGGTTGGGGCTCCGAGGAGACCCATTCTATGCGGGGCAATCTTCATTTAAGCAGAGAATGAGAAAGGGACTAGGGAGAGATTTTTCCCGTTAGATAAACGTGGCGGAGATAGGGACTATGTCCTCGTCCGTGCTTTTTTAACATATAAATTTCTCAACAACAATACTTGGCATGACAGCACAGTTGCGGTTGGAAAAAGGGATAGTGAAAGAGATAGGAATAGATAGAAGCTGTCATGCTTTATTAATGTTTTAACTCAAGGTTTAGAAGGTTACACAATTTCAGTATTTATAGCTTATACACTAGATCAGAAACAAGTAAATGATGGAAATCTAGATAAATTCAAATATATTAGCAATCTCCTAAAATTTTGGTAGTTTGAATATTTGAACATATCTCAACTACTTTAAATCATATCTCCATTTTGAATACTTTGAATCATATCTCAACACTCCCCCTTGATTCAAAGTTGCAGATGTCAAGTATAGAGCTTTTCTTTTGACAAGGCCTTTATAAGTATGTCTGCTTTAAACCGTACAATGTCTGTCTCAGCTTGTATACCTTTGTTTCTTTGTTTTCCTCTGGGAATCCCTCTGGCGGTGTTACATAAACCTCTTCTTGTAAATCTCCATCAAATTGATAAACAGGCCACCGCAATGGGCTGCATGTCCCATGTAAATCTCCATCGAACTTTTCGTTTGGCAAGTCAACTATATCCCATGTTCCATTTTTCTCAATGGAATGCATCTCTTCTACCATAGCTTTCTTTCGCTCTTCTTTTTCAGCTGCTTCTTCATAATTCATAGGGTCTGAAATAGTAAGAGAAAACTGACATGAGGCATATATGTCAGCTAAAGATTTATACTTCTTTGTAGGTATCTCATCTGAAAGTTCTTCCAGAGAAGAATTGCTGTTCAGTGATGCTGAAGATGATGAATTTGACACACTTTGTGTTGCAGTGGATGCACTGAGAGATGCATTGGAGTTGACCCTTGTCTCTTCATGTGGGGAAACTTCAACTATAATCTTTTGCTGCTCCTGTTCTTTACTCCAATCCCAACTCACGTTTTATTAAATATTACATCCCTTCTAACTAAAATCTTTTCACTGATGGGGTTGTATAATTTATATGCCTTTGACTGAGTACAATAGCCAATAAAAATGCATTTTTCAGATTTTTCATAAGCTTTTGACGAATTTGAGGATGTTTCAAAGCATAAACAACACAACCAAAGATTCGTAAATGACTTACAGATGATTTCCTTCCATGTCATGCTTCATAAGGAGTTCGATTCATAACCGCCTTTGTTGGTGAGATCTTTAATAGATAAACAGATGTTGCTATGGCTTCTGCCCAAAATTGGTTTAGAAGTCTCCTTGCTTGTAACATACTTCTTGCCATCCACAATAGTTCGATTTTTTCGTTCAACGATTCCATTTTGTTCTGGAGTGTAGGGAACTGTTAACTCCCTTTGGATGCCCTCTTCTTCACAAAACAGATTAAACTCTTTAGATATTAACTCGCCACCTTTGTCTGTGCAAAGAACTTTAATGTGACAGCCACTTTGATTCTCCACTGTAGCTTTAAAAATCTGGAACTTTTGAAAAGTTTCTAACTTATGTTGTAGGAAGTAAACTCAGCTCATGCGACTATAGTTATCAATGAATAGTAAAAAGTATGTACTCCCACACAAGGACTTTGTTTGCATTGGCCCACATAAATCAACATGAATTAGTTCTAGATAATGTGAAGCTCTTTTAGCTTCTCCAACAGGAAAGAACTTCTTAGTCTGCTTGCCATAAATGTATCCTTCACACAAATTTGTTGAATCAATTCTTGGTAATCCGAAAACCATATCTTTATCCCTGAGTATTTTCAGGCCGTTCATATGAAGATGTCCATATCTGAGATGCCATAATGTTGAGTCATCTTTCATGCTAGCAGTAAGAGCAAAATCCTCCATGTTAGAAACATGGAGTGGAAACATCTTATTTGAAGTCATGGCAATTTGAACTTTATGGCCTGATTTCTTATGTGTAATGACACATGCGTTGTCATCAAATAAAACTGAATGTCCTCTGGTCATCAATTGCCCAACACTCAATAAATTGTACCCTAAATCAGGTACAAATTGAACATTATCTAATTGTTTTATCTTACCATGACTAGTTTCGACTTTCATTGTACCTTTTCCCTCAACTTGCATCTCTTTTGTGTTTCCAAGTTGCACCTTAATTTTTTGCGTCTCATCAAGCTCTTTGAATAAGGATTTGGTGTCTGTCATATGATTCGAGCATCCACTATCAACAAACCATAAGTTACCTTTTTTTGGATTAGTATCCATGCACGACATAAGTAGCTTTTCTTCTTCTTCTTCATTCTCTACTGCAAAATTCATTCGTTGATTTTTATACCAACAATCAGATTTTGTGTGCCCATACCTTCTGCAATGGTAACATCATATGACATTTCTTTGTTCATTGAATTGTCTCTGTCCATCACTTTTCCACCTGTTATCACGACCACCATGGAAGTTGCGAAATCCTCCTCTTCCACGACTTCTACCTGCTAAATAAATATTTTCTCTTTCGTTGTTTTCGTGGTTGGTTGTCTCCTTCACTTGAAGTGCCTTTTCTTCGTTCCTTTCTGATGATCTATTGATTCTTGCCTCATGAGCCTGAAGCGAGCCCATCAGCTCATCAACGGAGAGTATGGATAGATCCTTAACTTCTTCTATGGCAGCCACCACATGGTCAAACTTTGGAGTCAAGCTTCTCAACACCTTTGTAACAATTGTTTCGTCTGAGATTTTCTCTCCATAGGTACGCATCTGACTGACTATTGTCATTGCTCTTGACAAAAAATCAGCAATTGATTCGCCATTCTTCATGAGTAGAGTTTCAAAATCACGTCTTAGAGATTGAAATTTCACTGTTATGACCTTTGAATCTCCTAGAAACTCCTTCGGTAGAATTGACCATGCCTGCTTTGATGTGGTTGCTGCTGCAATTCGTGAAAAGATAGTCTCATGAACTGCTTGCTGAATAGTGAATAGGGCCTTGGCATCGTTTTTCTTGGTTTCTCTTAGTCTCTCATTTTCTTCTATTATGGGCTCTAATACATCGCCTAATACCCATAGGATAATAAAATAAATAAATAAATAATAATAATAATAATGAAATAAAATAAAAATAAAAATAAAAATAAAAAAAGAAAGAAAGAATGAATGAATGAAAGAAAGCGTGTGGCAAGGGGACTCTGCCTTGCCACCGCCAAAAATCGCAGGCAGAAAAGACTATGGAGTAGCCCATTTTCAAGGACCTTTCGAGGGCAGAAGAAGAGGGTTTGAGAGACGTCGAAAATGGAGGAGGAGCTCACGAACTCTTGGAGACCAACCATTGGGAGAACTCGTTGCGAGTCCACGTTTGCCGGAAACTTCGCGGTTGAGACCCACAAGCGCCATCTGATCGATTAGGGGAAAAGTTTGAGGATTTCCACCGCCGAGGCTTGGAGCTTGAGGTTAGTGAAGAAAAAGAGTCAAAATGGCAGAAGGGAACGGAGAATCGAGATATCACTTTGGATCTACGAGATTTGAGGATTGTAGGCATCGGAAACGAATCAGAGGGAGAGGCGACGGCGAGCATGCAGAGGAATTATCTAGGGAGTTTGGCAAATTTTGGAACCCTCCAAAGACAAAAATCCGAACAAAAACATCAAATGTTTCAGGTAAGTAGCACCGCGGAACCTTGGATTTAACTATGCTCATAGTATACATGAAATTATGGTATAAGAAGTATGTTTTAGAAGTTTGAGCATAGAATGAGTATGTTTGTTGAAACTTTACTGAAACGCGTATGCAACTACCTTAAGAACTGAGATTCATGACTAGCTTTCCATGATTAGATGATTAAGTTATGCCTCCGTCACGCATGTTACAGTATTAGCGGTTACCCGGGGACGATTAGGGGTTCGCCAACTAACCCCTAACCGTAAACCTGACTTGATTGTCAGGGGTCCGCATAACTATAGAATTGGCCATTTTATTCTTGAGGGTACCTTGTGGGGACTTGTGGGAAGTTTGCCAGTTAGTTTCCTATTAGTGAACCTGTCACGAGTGATAGGGGTCCACTGTGGTACATTAGAGTTGGTCGATGTGATATTGCTCATGCCTATGAGTTAGCGGTTATCCGGGGACGATTAGGAGTTCGCCAACTAACCTCTAATCGTAAATCTGACTCGATTGTCAGGGGTACGCATAACTATAGAACTGGCCATTTTATTCTTGAGGATACCTTGTGGGGACTTGTAGGAAGTTTGCCAGTTAATTTCCTATTAGTGAACCTGTCACGAGTGACAGGGGTCCACAGTGGTACATTAGAGTTAGTCGAGGTGAAATTGCTCATGCCTATGAGTTAGCGGTTATCCGGGGACGATTAGGGGTTCGCTAACTAACCTCTAATCGTAAACCTGACTCGATTGTCAGGGGTCCGCGTAACTATAAAACTGGCCATTTTTATTCCTGAAGGTACCTTGTGGGGACTTGTAGCAAGTTTACTAGTTAATTTCCTATTAGTGACCCTGTCACGAGTGACAGGGTCCACATTGGTACATTAGAGTGGTCGAGATTTATTGTTCATGCATATGAGTTAGCAGTTATCCAGGGACGATTAGGGGTTCGCCAACTAACCTCTAATCATGAACTTGACTCGATTG